TGCTGCCTCTGGGATGAAGTGCTGAGCTGAAGACAAAATGGCCTCGACCACATGGCCTCTTTATACCCCCTTCCTGGCCTCTTCTTGGCTGCAGCAGGTCACCTGGTCAGAGGCCAATCTCTGTGTTTCCTGCTGGCTGCTCTCAGATGACAGCCCCCATTCTTTGGGTGTGTCCTTGGCCCATCAAGTGCCATTGTCCCGCAGGGCCTGGCTAATCAGCCTGTCCATAGCCATGCTCAACCACATTCACAGAAATATTCAGCTTCCACACAGATTACAGATTCCTACCTACACACACAGACATTATACACTCACACAAATAGCATACACAGGATCAGCAAACGATAAGCTCCCATTCAATACCCCACATGGCTCCCTTTTATACCAATTTCTGGGGCCAACACCCCCACCTAGGGGTGCAGCAGCGATCTGGCTGCTTCCCTCCAGTTCGGTAATGTGACAGGGCCCCCACTGGTTTTGGCTATGGGTAGAGACCAGGGCACTGTGGGGTCCTTCTGGCCAATCCTCAAGGTCCCAGCCCATCAGCAGCCCAGCAGGCAGGTGCTGGTGTACCCCACTTCCTAGGGTCCTGGCCCTTCTCCCCCCTTTCCTTCCCAAAGCCCCTTTTCTCCTCCTAACCCAGCCGAGACCAACTCTTCCCCCAGGCCCTGCCCCCAGCCTGGCCTGTCTCCTGTCCCGGGCGGGAGCTGTGATCTGTGTCTGGCCCTCTGGTGTCTGGGCCCGGTGCACACCTGGGGCAACTCTTGCTCTGGCCAGAGCTGCAGCTCCCCGGACAGCAGGAACCACCCAACCCACAGAGCCACTCAGCCATACGAGCCCCACGACGGCCCCCTGGGGCTTGTGTAGGGACCACGGCCGAGCTCAGGGCTGCTGGGCCACAGGGAGGTCTTTGTGGGGAGCGTGGGAAGGGGCTTGAGACCGCGCACCCCTCCCCCGCCTCCACCCCCTCAGGGCCGGCTCTGAGCTGTCAAAGGGACCCTCCTGACCCTGGTGCTGCCCCCCGGCCCGACTTCTCAGCCTTGCTGTCCTGCTGGTCCTGAGACTCCTTCCAGGGGGCGCGGAAGCCCGAGACAGGGGAGAGCTGCCTTGGGGCCCCTGCCCATCATAGAGGAGCCTTTCCAGAGGGTGGCGATGGATCGAGTGGGGCCCCTCGGCAGGACGACCCATCCGGGGGAGAAATACGTCCTGCTGGTGGGGGTGGATTTGGTGACCCGCCCCCCCGGGCCGTGGCCCTGCCCTCTGTCCAGGCAGACACGGTGGCAGATGCTGCTGGCCCTGTTCAGCGGGGGGGGGGGGGTCCCCCAGGAGTCCTCACGGACCAGGGGTCCCACTTCATGTCGGCCCCCCTCCGGTGCCTGTGGGAGAAGTGCGGGGCCCGGCTCACCTGGACCCCAGTGTAGGGCGCCCGGCCCAGCGGGCTGGTGGGGAGGTGCCAGGGGACCCGGAAGCAGATGCTGGAGGCCTTTATGCACCAGCACCCGCAGGACTGGGACAAGTGCCTGCCCCCCTGCTGTCTGCACACAGGGAGGGGCCCCGAGGGTCTGCCAGGCTCTCCCCGACCGAGCCAGGGTGCGGAAGGGGGAGGGCCTGGGCTAGCTGAGACATGGGAGGGGGAGGCAGCCCCGGAC